TTATTTTTTACATGATTCCCAATTATTTTACAAATTTTGCCGAGAAAATTCAAAATAACCGACTTCCTGTTGGGATTCTGACTTCATACCAGGAGACTTTTCTGTAGGTATTGGTGTGTTGCATGTGTGTACCAATTTTATTCATTGTGTAGTTTAGAGAGCTTCACTGATTATAACGGAACCTTGTGAGATCCCAATGAACTAAGATGAGTGATGCTTTTAGTGATACTAATGGGAGCGCGCTTTCTAGGCTATAACCCATTCAGAATTTGTATGAAACTTTTTCGTTTTTCGGACATACATGCTGCAACATTTCGGGAATGACATCTGCATATTTATGCTGGATTCATTCTCGAAATACCAGTGATTGACACAGTGATAAACAAAGCAATGGACAGGACAAAAATGCCTCAGTGATTTATTCTGGAAGCGGTCCTGGCCAAACTTCCACAGACAGCACGTGTCCTCAGCGAGATCCAGTTCACGGACTAAAAGTGTGTGTAAACTTTATTGAGATCGGGACATATCAACCAGCAATTTCATTTCCAGTAACGGATGGTAGAATTTTTAGAAATCAATAGTATGCAATTCATGACAGAATAGTCCCACAACTGATCGTTTATTTTTTCCTTACGTTTCTCACCTTTAGTAACAACAATTCAAAACGGACACATTTCAAGTGACACGGGAAAAAGACACGGAAAACTTAAATAAACATCAGAAAAGCGTGCACACTTCTGGTTAAAAATGAAAGGCCACTTAAAACGGGAAGCATCACCATTCAAATCAGCAACAAGAGTCAAAGCTCCACAGTTTAGTAAACGCAGACAACCTCTTTAAGTTATTCTTGACTGCGCTGTATTGACTGCTTTGATGCATACATCCGAAAAAGATTTATTTTGCCTTTTTTTTTTTTCTTGCTCCCCTGACTCAAGAGTCAAATGTCGCCCGTGGGTAATGGTACTGGCAGATATTCTGAATATTCAGCTGTCTGTATCAGCAGATATCATTCTGAATATTCAGCTGTCTGTATCGGCAGATGTCATTCTGAATATTCAGCTGTCTGTATCGGCACATATCATTCTGAATATTCAGCTGTCTGTATCGGCAGATATCATTCTCGATAATCGGCTAATTGGCTATCGTTATTGGTATTGGCAGATATCATTCTGAATATTCAGCTGCCTGTATCAGCAGATATCATTCTCGATAATCGGCTAATTGGCTATCGTTATTGGTATTGGCAGATATCATTCTGAATATTCAGCTGCCTGTATCAGCAGATATCATTCTCGATAATCGGCTAATTGGCTATCGTTATTGGTATTGGCAGATATCATTCTGAATATTCAGCTGCCTGTATCAGCAGATATCATTCTCGATAATCGGCTAATTGGCTATCGTTATTGGTATTGGCAGATATCATTCTGAATATTCAGCTGCCTGTATCAGCAGATATCATTCTCGATAATCGGCTAATTGGCTATCGTTATTGGTATTGGCAGATATCATTCTGAATATTCAGCTGCCTGTATCAGCAGATATCATTCTCGATAATCGGCTAATTGGCTATCGTTATTGGTATTGGCAGATATCATTCTGAATATTCAGCTGCCTGTATCAGCAGATATCATTCTCGATAATCGGCTAATTGGCTATCGTTATTGGTATTGGCAGATATCATTCTGAATATTCAGCTGCCTGTATCAGCAGATATCATTCTCGATAATCGGCTAATTGGCTATCGTTATTGGTATTGGCAGATATCATTCTGAATATTCAGCTGCCTGTATCAGCAGATATCATTCTCGATAATCGGCTAATTGGCTATCGTTATTGGTATTGGCAGATATCATTCTGAATATTCAGCTGCCTGTATCAGCAGATATCATTCTCGATAATCGGCTAATTGGCTATCGTTATTGGTATTGGCAGATATCATTCTGAATATTCAGCTGCCTGTATCAGCAGATATCATTCTCGATAATCGGCTAATTGGCTATCGTTATTGGTATTGGCAGATATCATTCTGAATATTCAGCTGCCTGTATCAGCAGATATCATTCTCGATAATCGGCTAATTGGCTATCGTTATTGGTATTGGCAGATATCATTCTGAATATTCAGCTGCCTGTATCAGCAGATATCATTCTCGATAATCGGCTAATTGGCTATCGTTATTGGTATTGGCAGATATCATTCTGAATATTCAGCTGCCTGTATCAGCAGATATCATTCTCGATAATCGGCTAATTGGCTATCGTTATTGGTATTGGCAGATATCATTCTGAATATTCAGCTGCCTGTATCAGCAGATATCATTCTCGATAATCGGCTAATTGGCTATCGTTATTGGTATTGGCAGATATCATTCTGAATATTCAGCTGCCTGTATCAGCAGATATCATTCTCGATAATCGGCTAATTGGCTATCGTTATTGGTATTGGCAGATATCATTCTGAATATTCAGCTGCCTGTATCAGCAGATATCATTCTCGATAATCGGCTAATTGGCTATCGTTATTGGTATTGGCAGATATCATTCTGAATATTCAGCTGCCTGTATCAGCAGATATCATTCTCGATAATCGGCTAATTGGCTATCGTTATTGGTATTGGCAGATATCATTCTGAATATTCAGCTGCCTGTATCAGCAGATATCATTCTCGATAATCGGCTAATTGGCTATCGTTATTGGTATTGGCAGATATCATTCTGAATATTCAGCTGCCTGTATCAGCAGATATCATTCTCGATAATCGGCTAATTGGCTATCGTTATTGGTATTGGCAGATATCATTCTGAATATTCAGCTGCCTGTATCAGCAGATATCATTCTCGATAATCGGCTAATTGGCTATCGTTATTGGTATTGGCAGATATCATTCTGAATATTCAGCTGCCTGTATCAGCAGATATCATTCTCGATAATCGGCTAATTGGCTATCGTTATTGGTATTGGCAGATATCATTCTGAATATTCAGCTGCCTGTATCAGCAGATATCATTCTCGATAATCGGCTAATTGGCTATCGTTATTGGTATTGGCAGATATCATTCTGAATATTCAGCTGCCTGTATCAGCAGATATCATTCTCGATAATCGGCTAATTGGCTATCGTTATTGGTATTGGCAGATATCATTCTGAATATTCAGCTGCCTGTATCAGCAGATATCATTCTCGATAATCGGCTAATTGGCTATCGTTATTGGTATTGGCAGATATCATTCTGAATATTCAGCTGCCTGTATCAGCAGATATCATTCTCGATAATCGGCTAATTGGCTATCGTTATTGGTATTGGCAGATATCATTCTGAATATTCAGCTGCCTGTATCAGCAGATATCATTCTCGATAATCGGCTAATTGGCTATCGTTATTGGTATTGGCAGATATCATTCTGAATATTCAGCTGCCTGTATCAGCAGATATCATTCTCGATAATCGGCTAATTGGCTATCGTTATTGGTATTGGCAGATATCATTCTGAATATTCAGCTGCCTGTATCAGCAGATATCATTCTCGATAATCGGCTAATTGGCTATCGTTATTGGTATTGGCAGATATCATTCTGAATATTCAGCTGCCTGTATCAGCAGATATCATTCTCGATAATCGGCTAATTGGCTATCGTTATTGGTATTGGCAGATATCATTCTGAATATTCAGCTGTCTGTATCGGCAGATATCATTCTGAATATTCAGCTGTCTGTATTGGCAGATATCATTCTGAATATTCAGCTGTCTTTATCGGCAGATATCATTCTGGATAATCGGCAGAGAAATTACGTAGAGAAGTAATGGTGCATCTCTAATTTATATATAGTATTTTTTATAACATTTTAGTAAAATATTTTGTGCAATATATGTTGTCTAATATTTATGCTAATCAATGAATTTGTATGACTTTTCATGACTGTGTGTGTGTGTGTGTGTGTGTGTGTGTGTGTGTGTGTGTGTGTGTGTGTGCGGGAGGAGAGTGG